TTTTTTGTGTCGATTTAAAATTATCTGTCAATTAGACGGATCAACAAATTCCAATTCTGCTTCCCCGATAATAGTGTTATAGTATCAAAAAATTTTTGCTCTTCTCAAACCCGAATCATAAGTACATAGAACAATTTGTCACCAATCGTATAGAATTAGATGTTTCAGATAAACCAGTATATTAGTTTATAAGAAGAAAAAAAGAACTGCAGCTTACAGAAGAGCCAACAAAAACAAAAGGAAAATAAGAAGCAGTTTAGACTAGACTAGACTATTATCAGAATTTAGCGTATTCTTCTCATCTTAGAAACTCACTCCCTACACATTATACCGAATCTTTGCCAATTTAATAAGCAATATATTTGAAGCAGCAAAAAAACTGTTGAAACAGACCTCCTATAATGATAAACTTCAAATGAATATAGGCTAAGATCAGGACCATCAATCTGCATAATATCCACAACGGTAACGCGAATGTTCACTTGATAGAAATACTATAAATTAATCAGTTATGTAGACAAAAATAAAAATTGTTCTTTTCCTTAGACTTCAAACTAATCAACGATAATAATAAAAATAAAATAAAAAATCAAAAAAAAAAAATTACGTTTAGAACTGTTTAGTCATACAAAAAATTTATTTTGCCAAATTTTCTCGAAATAGCATTTGGTTTTTCAGCTTTTTGAATTCTTTACAGTCTTTTCTTTTTTTCCTTCTTCTTCTTCTTCTATCTTTTACAGTTCTTAGAATACAACAATCTTTCTGTACAACAAAAAATTTGGCATTACAAAATGAGCTGAAACCAATTGTGCAAAACCAAATAAGCATAACAACGAACAGATAGATTTGAACAAAATAACTTTTTATACAGATAAGCAAATTGCTGTTGAAGAATTACAAATACTGAAAACATTTGGTACTTTTTTTCTTATTTGCTCTTTTTATTTTTCTTTAAACTATATCAGAGAAATATAATCAGTTACTGTGCAGAAGAAAAAAAAAAAAAAAAAAGAAAATCAAAAACAAAAATAAAGCAGCAAAATATCAAACTGAAAAACCTTACATCATTAGCTTCTTTTACAGTTCGGATAACCTCATTTTTCACTGCAGACATATCGTTTTCATAATGATCCAACTGCAAAAGCAAAAAAAAAAA